ATAAAACATCATATAACTCAAAAGCAAGCACAATTTGATGCAAATAGATGTTTGTGACATAACCTCAAAATAGAGCGCTGACACGTCGAAATAGAAAACTATGACAATCAAGGAGGCCATAAACGCGCCCTACAGTTGTAGGGACGACTGACGATACGGGCCTAAGAGATTACCGGCATTTTTAATATAATAGTTTTTTTTCTTTGAGATATGCTGGGAAACTAAACAGTCACATCATGTTGGAATACTCCTTTGAGGGCTTGAGAGCTCAATAAGATGGTAAAATCATTCTTAATTAGAAATGAGAATTTTGGATGAGAATTATTAATTAAGACAAGAAAAATTTAAACAAAAAGTTGAGAAACATTGAAGACATCTTAACTATACCAACATATCTTCACTAATTTTCTGACACGTCATAAATCTTCATAAATCGTGTTTCCAATCGTACTCGTAGATATCGCTTAACAGACTGTGTGTACATAAACTGCATTTCTGAAATTTGATATTTGCTCCCCTAGTTACGCGTTTAAAAAAATGTTAAATGAAAAAAGATGTCTGTCAATATGCACTTTTGTTAAATGAAAAACGAGCTAACAGAAGACCGAATCGCAAGTGCTTTTTCGGGGTATCGGTTTCAAACAGGGCCGCACTAAGGATTTTTGGACTCGTCTATTTCAACCAGAACATATGCTTATATTCTATCGTAGATAGATTAAAACCCACATATTTCACTACTTTTAACCACATCCATTAAAATTAGTTTAGACTAGTTTTCCATTTCAAGGTTGTATCCTTTATTATTTAATGCGACATTTAGGTCCGAACCGTCAGCGATTTTCATAGCCATTTCTATCATTCAGAAAGGCTGGGGTATTTCTAGATTTCTATTGTTTTGCGTCAGCGTCATCGCTCTCCTAGTTATGTTTCCCTTTTGAGTTGTAGGAAGTTTCCGGGTGATAAAACAGATGATAATCGAAAGCATGAGATATTTGTAACATAACCTCATAATAGAGCCACTTCTTGAAGGGAAGGAAAAATTATGAAAATCTAGGAGGTTATACAGGTGTCCTAGAATTGTAAGAACGACTGACGATACGGCCCTGAGGTATTTAAGGCCAAACATTTCTAACAGTTTGCCAGCAGACATAAGAAATGCCAAAGATATGAGGTTTTTCTAAATGAGAATTAAGCGGTTTCTTATAAAAAGTTGGTATTACACCGTCTCGGAATTCTGTGTCTTATAAGGTTCAATTGTTTGTAGATTAACTCTGCTTATGTTTGTTTTTTATATTTTAAATTTTATATTCATCTTGACGAGTTCTGTATACTGTACGAGTCGGAAAGAACAATAAACTACTACTGTTACGACCTAGCTTTCAAGACAGGTCATCATTCAACAAAACTACTTCTATGCGGAGGTGCGACAATCATCTCCAGGATTCTGCACAGGTCTCCTGGGGTGGACAATAGAGGTGATCGATATCGTTATTTTTGAACATCTGTGGTATCTGATATCGTTACTTTTCGTTCGATATTTATTAAATGTTTCGCGTGTAGTGAAGTACAGAAAATGCTATTTTTAGTGAAACTACTCGTAGTAAGTTGATCTCACACGTGCTTATTGAGGGTAATTTGGGCAGCTAACAGAATCGTCACGAAGGATTAGGTTAAACGATTGACTGATATTCTGAGCAAAACTTATGAGGCACGATATTGTCTGCATTAGCTCCGCAATTCCATGATACCATTCGCTGCTGTTTTTTATGGGCGCAGATTTTGGTGATAATCACCGTCGCTACAATGTGATATCCTCCATAACCGTGATATTTTATAGATTTGTGCAAGTTATAGGTTCGACAAAACAGAATTTCTCGATTTATGAAAATTTCGCAAACTTAAAAATCCAAAGAACGTCAGTGCGTTCTTGCGTTCTTTCAGATGCATTCAGTTTTTGCCTGTAAAATCTCAAGAAATCGGATAAACCGCATTTTCACCCATTTTCTACAATTTTGGAAATGTTAAACGATTAGCTGACTCAAAAATGCAGCGCACTATGTATTTTAGTGCAAATTACCATGTTCTAAAGATGACTAAAATTGGTGAAAATCGGTGAAAATGGGCTTATCTGATCCATGACGATATTTCGGACAGCTAATCGTAGTTTTGAGTACGGAACTGAGAAAAATTCAAATATACAATGGGTTACTAACATCAGCGAAATTTTAGATCTTGGCGATTTCCCGGGTTAAAACTTGTGATTTTGTTAGTTGATCTGAAAATAACGCAAAAAAGTACAGATAACGGATAAATTTTTAAGTTTGGAAACTTTTCAATACTCATCAAAAAATTCGAAAAACAACCGCAAATTTTGCCGTTCCTAAACGTTGCACAAATCAATGAAAAGTCACGGTTACGTAGGATATCGCAATGTAGCGAAAGTGATTTTTTCTAAATTTTTTGAGCAAAATTGCGCCCGCAACAAACTATTTCCGATAAAATAGGCGTTTGAGGTTAGTGTCCCCTAAAAGTTTGGCTAAGGCGATTTAACCCAATATACCTCAATTTACATCGGTCATAATTTGCATAATCATGGGGGCATATACGAGGACACAACTTTAATGTCGAACAAGAGCGAGTCAAGCCAAGTTTTTTCAGTGAAAAATGTGTTTGATTCATGGAAGGGACTAGTAATATAGTGAACTCTTCATCTGTCAATGCTTTCAAAAACGGAAAGGACAGTTGTTATCATTAAAATTCATGTTTGTAGTTTCTGTATTACCTATATATCTTTATTTACTTAATTATTTGTTTATTTATCAATGAGCGACTGCATAGAAAATCTAATATAAAGCTATTTCTACTTTGACTTAGAAATTTAACACTCAAAACAGTCACAAACACTTTACAATCCAGATCATTTCTAAATTAAAACGAGTTTAATTAAATTTAAATATATGGGGAAATCAAATATTAAATATTACAGACAGGAATCTAATTGAATTTTGAATGGTTTCCGACTTCTGAAGAAATCCAAATTATTACAATACTGATATGCTAACCTTGACGATCTAGACAGGAAGGAATTACTAGCATAATTAGTACGAAATGATCTCACATGGAATGGATGATTCACTCTTGTTTGACAAGAGGGCACATAGAGATTAATATGTTTCAAAGTTCTGGAGCAAAACTAAGAGAGTGCAAAATATTATAAAATAGTGACAGGTCCCTCTGATTCCGTCTTACCTGAAGGGTTAACATATTGAGAGAGCTTTCAATGACGGAATAGATAAAATGTAATGTAATGTTTTGTTTGAATGAAATGAATCTTAAGAATTTGTGTTGCACTCTCTCAATTGCCTGAATATAAGCATTATAGTTGGGTGACCAAACACAAGAACAATACTCCAAATGGGGTCTCACCAAAGAACAAAACAACGTTTTAAATGACTGAATATTATGAAAATCCTTAGCACATAGTTTTATAAATCATAACAGTTGAAGAGATTTAGAAACAATCATATTTATATGGGTAATAAAGGATAATTTTGGGTCAAGAATTACCCCTAAATCCCTAACTTGGGATACACTCTTTAGAGGACAACCTTTGATGGTATAAGTATGATCAATGGGGTCCCTGTTACGGCCGAAGACCATTAAATGACATTCTTCCACATTAAGTTCCATTCTATTCATTTGACACCAGAAACTTAATGAATTCAAATCATTTTGGATATTTAAACGATCATTATTATATTTGATTTTTAAGAATAAATTCAAATCATCTGCAAACATTAGAAAACTAACAGACTTAAAACAGTATATAATATCATTCCCGTATATATTGAAAAGAAGAGGATCCAGATGGGAACCTTGAGGTACTCCAGATGGCACATTAATCTCATTTGATTGAAAGCTTTGTATACGCACTATTTGTTTTCGGTCATTGAGGTAAGACTTCAGCCATGATAAAAGATCCTCGCAAATTCCTAGACAATGTAACTTATTAATCAAGATCTCATGGTTGACCTTATCGAATGCTTTAGAAAAAGCTGTATAAGCTACGTGAACAGAATAACCTTCCTCGAAGGATTCCAAAACATAGTTTGTGAATGTTAAAAAATATAAATCTGTGTAGCGTTTTGAAAGAAATCCAAACTGTTGCTTATAAAACTACTTTGCAAATTTGCGGATAAAAATTCACACACTAGGCTCTCAAATACCAATGCAACTCAGTTTACTGATAGGTCTATAATTTTTGACTTGTGAAGGATCTCCAGATTTCAGTATTGGAGTAATGAAGCTCGTTTTCCAACATTCCGGAAAAGTTCCATTTTTCAACGAAAGATTAAAAATATAAAATACAGGTCTAGAAATCAGAAAGCTACAATGTTTAATCAACAACGGAGGTATACCATCAGGTCTAGGTCCTTCACTAGCATCTAATTTTGACAGTTTTTCATAGATGGCTGAGACTGGAATTTCATACCTAGATAAACAAATTGATGACCCCATAAGAAAGATTACTATTCTAAATAGTACTATTCTCTACACTGTAAGTTTTAGAGAACTTGGATTTTTTTCTGAAGTAACTTCACTTATAATTCTCATGGCATACTGTTCATAACTTTTGGGTCAGCACTTGTATTAGTTTTATGTTGGCCCTTTTGCAACTACTAATATATATATATATATATATATATATATATACATCCCGCTATCTTTCGGGCGTCCTTTCAAGAAACAATATCTGAGCGTCCACTATAAATTCTGAAGGTATGTGCATTTTATAGGCTGAATATTTTTCAAAATATGACAGCAGTTGGTGTTGAGAAGCAATAGAGTTTTGTTCAGAAACATAGAAAAAATCGTTTTTTACATCACGGACTTCTCAGCTTCCTTTCACTGTAACACTCACTGAGCGTCCCAAATATACGCAAAACTTTCAAATTTCCGTGACTGGGCGTCCTATTTATATATTTTAAATTCACTCTAAGGATTACCTAGCGTCCGGAGACGTTGCCAAATCTGTCAGTAAATATGTTTGTCCAAGTCATCTATTCATTCCAGTAACTATTTTCTCTATGAATGACAGAATGGTAACAACAAGTTCTAGTATAACCATTCTACAAGAGAAATCAGATTGGCATCTGGTTGAGTGTATAAAACAAGGGGATTCAAGAAAAATGGACAGCATAAGAGTGTTTAAATAAAGCCTGCTATACTCCGGAGAAGAAAATACATTCTTAGTACTAATGGACGTCGACAACACAGAAGGATTCTGTGAGTGCTTCTTCGCTGGTCCAAAGTGTGGGGCCAAGAATCTTAGTGAAAGGGGCCCGTAAAAACAAATTTTTCAAGTCAGCGGGCTAGTGTACCTACAAATAAGTTCAGCGCTCGGTCTGCTGAACTCGATTTCTAGCAGTCAATATCTAAGAAAGGTGTTCAGGAAAAAACGCTTCGCAAGAGCCATATGTGGACTATCAGTAATAACCCCATAAGGAAGAAGACATCGGACACCTAAGAAGAGGTACAAAGGATTTTGTTTTAACTTCAAATCAAATGGACATGAAGCAGGTAAGTGCCCTTGTTGTAATATAAAATTGTAAATAAAAAGTTGTTAATAAAGAATCAGAAAATGTCTTACCAGTAGATGGCGTTTGGAGTTTTATCACATGGCGGTTATCAAAATAAAATTATATGCTTTTTGAAAGCTAATTTTGACAATAAAATGGATCAAAAGAAGAATAAAGTTTTTTTTCTGGGGACACACTGTGTTTCATTTTTTCCTATATTTCCTACGACGTTACATGTGCTTTTAGTATGAAGCCAGGCAAAGCGAAATGAATAACAGATATAACCACATGATAAGTTTTACAAATTACATTATACAAGGGGTAGTGCATTAAGTTTTTATGAATGAAAATGCTGGATGTAGAAAAATACCTTGTTACATAGAATACACTTTATTATTCTTAAATAAGAAGAGGCAAAAGTAAGGTGTAGAAAATAGTTATACAACACTTACAAAAATAAAATCAGAATCTGTTCTCATAGGAACCATTGAAAAGTAAAACAAAATTCCTTCATTTGTTATTATATTTATGATACTGGTTTTGGACGAATACTTTAATTTTCGGCCAATCTTTATTCGAGAATATTTCGGTATGGAGCCTTTTCAATTCCTCGCATTCATTTCGTTTCGGTGGTTTTCTGTTTTTTATATGATTTGCAAAAAAATTTATAACAATTTTTTTCTGTTCATCGGTCCACTTAATGAGTACTCGTTTATTTTTCTTAGGAAGATATTCATTTTTCTTCTCTGGAATTTTTGAACTGTACGGTTCTGGAACGTCGGAATGCAAAGATGGCGATTCACAACGTTCGCTTTGTTCTTCGTTAGCAAGCATCAAGTCTTCTTCCAAATTTAAATTAATATCATTCAGGGCTTTTCCTTTAAACTGAGCAGCTTGTCCTTTTTCCATTAAAAGCAGAAGTTTTGAAATCTTGGCTGTTTGGTATACATCATTTGGTAAACGATAGTTTTCCCGATGTACGCCAATGGTATGTCCCATAAAACTAGCCAGCTGCTCCAAATCATTCTCACACATATCAAATAATTGTGTGAGAGTAGCCAAATGCTTCCGGAGTCTAGTTGCTGTAATAGATGATGGGTTCTTTGCCCCAGATGCCAGTGCGAATTTCTTCAGAACCTTATAACCACATATAGGTTCATTTGATTTAGCATTACCGAATAGGAATGGGTTTTTTTCACTAACAAATTTGTTGCGTATTTTAATTAAAATATTTATGTGTCCTTGAATGTCGGGACTAAAAAGAACCGGTACTCCTCGTCCCCTTTTACCTCTTATTACTATCCTTTTAAATCTTTTGAGTAGAATTTGTTCAGTTGGAGAAACAACCTCGGAGAACTCTTCATAATTTGAGCTGGAATCGCTTTTCTCCAATATTTGATAATTGTCCAGTGTCAGTCTTTGCAGTTCACCTGGACGTCTTCGGTTAAGTAAAATCACACGGCAGAATATAGACTCCAAAAGAAGTACGTATTGGCTAACGTCCCCATCGCCGTCGTTCTGAAGTGCAGTTGCGGCAGAATTTGCCGTCGTTATCAAAAATTCCTTGAACAGTTTTAAGTCACTGGCAAGTGGCACTAGGGTAACTTTATTCCACTTGTTAATATTTATATCACTGGCGGCCTGGCTAGAAATCTCATATTGCCATTGTGACTCAATGACTTTTATCAAAGTTTTTAAATCTGCCTCTGCTTCAGCAGATGAAACTGTTAAGGCGATTTGTTTCCTTTTCAGAGCAAATATAATAGCTATCTCCGCACATTGCTTCAGATTCGTGCCCATATTCATAGCGTAGGTTGGTGATTCAAATTTATCCTTTTCTACGTCATATTTTGCCACTGCTTTTGTTGCAGCAACAATTGTATCAAAATATTTAGGTTTCAGAGCATCAAAGAGACAATGAATATTTGGCTCCATTTTTTCTATTTCGATTAAAAATCGAGCAATTTCTCGCATTTTCCTAGATGTTACGTTGATGAAATGCTTTTCTCGGTGAATTTTCATGTACCTTGCTCCATAAGCACAAATAAGTGGATCTCTTTTTGCAACGAGAGATATTTCATCCGCTCTCATCCTGGGAAAAACCGTCTTTTTCAAATTTAGATCAATTCTCAAGCTAGATACCAATAAATTTTGGGCAGACACCTGAGCACGTGTGCTCTTTGATCCAGTACATTTAATTTTGTGCCTCCATAACAATTTTCTAGAGTAAAAACCAAGGCAATTATCGCAAGGCAAAAGATCTTTTGCTGAGCGCAAACTTTGGACTGGCTTACACGCGACACTACTATTTATATAGTTTCCCTTTTTTCTTAAACGGTCCAAGAGCTGTTTTCTTACTATACTACGAGTTGGATGTAGCAGAATTTCTTGGACTTCGATTTCTGATGGGTGGTTGCGTGTTATATGTCTGGCAAAATTTAACACTGGAGTCTCGCAAAAGAAACAGAAATCTGTCTTTTTCTTTCCCTTGCGCATTTCACCATCCTGTTTATATATCCCAAAATTATTGGAAGGGTTTTCTTCTGATGGCAGAATTGGTTCAACAGTGCGGCCCGAAAATGTAACTTTTTCAGTATATGGATCAGATATTTCTTCCTGGAAACAAAACATTTATTATAGCTTTTTTTAACCTTCAAAACTCACATTTTATTGGACAAAACAACGATCATAGCGCCAAACATATGAAAATTTCGATCTCTCTATAATATACTCAAAATTGTAGCAGGGCATGTTGCATTAAGCTCCTCTCACAAAAACCGCTCTTTATTAATTATATTTTGTTCATTTCAGATAGTATTCTAAAGCACCTGGTGTATCAATATTATTTGTGACTTACGGGGTTGTAAGATTTATAATTAACTGGCATCACAATATACCTGTTTATTACATAAATGGTCGTCTTTTTGGATAAAACTGTTGCCAGGTTCGCTCCCAGAATCTGATGAAACCGAGGGAGTATCTGGAATGTATTCAGTACCACTACTATAAGCTTCATTTTCTTCTGAAGCATGCTCACTACTACTACTACCATGAGCATCAAAATGTTCATCACTAGTAGATACTACATCAATTGTAGGTGATATTCCACCAGACTGGAGGTTTCTAAAGTGTTCTTGCGGACTTATAGGTATTTCTTCTTCAAAGAGATTTTTTTTAACCTTCTGTAGTCTTGTGTTATACACCTTTTCGGTGGAGGATATGCTGGAGTATTGAATTTTTATAGCAGGTGTTCTTGTTTGACTTGTTACGTTCCCAAATAGTTCTTGGGATCCTGTGAAGTAAAATGTTTAATGTTATAATTTTTTTAAATTAAGTCTTTTCAGTACCGACAATGCAGTGGCTATCCAAGATATTTCTGCAGCCAAAAGTATTGCTTGAACCAAGTTTTAGTGACTTTATCTATTTGCCCAAAACAATTTGTTCATTCTTTAATATATCTGTTCATTCTTTAATATAATTTTAATCAACAATTTTACAAAATTTGCTTTTCAATTAAAGAGTTCTAGGGCTATTGATTAAATCAAAGTTTCGCAAATAATTCATAAATTACTACTTCCAGTTATTTTCCAAACTTGAATGTCAATGAATAATTTGACCTCACTAAAATTTCTTGAGACACAGAAGTAAATTATGTACCGTAGTTTTTAAAAGTAAACAATGTATTTTTGTAAAGATAGAAAAAGTGTTATACAGAATTCCCCAAAAAGCCGTAATAATTTTTTCAATGGAACTGCCTATATATTACACAATGTTTGGATTATGTGAGGAATTTGAAATATTTATCATTAAGCATACCGCAGGTCTATCTTCAATTGTTTTTAAATCATCGACATTTGATAAATAACAGTTTTGGTACTCTAAATCCTCATAACCCCTCAACAATCTTATTGTTAGAGCAAAATAAAAATGCCATAAAACGAAGTATGTATCATTACTTTTGTTTCACTCATTATTATAGGTGAAAGCTTATCAAAAACTAGACCGGATGTTATTCTGCTCGAAGTTAAACTGTTCAGGCGTTGTGAGGATTCAAAGTGCCCAGAAATATCACCTTTCAAATGCCCTTAATTCAAAAAGAATTCAAATAGACCAACAGTATGTTCCAAAAAGTATGTAAAATCTGTCACGAAATCAAACAAAAAAAACCTAACATAGTTGTATCCCAGTTTCTTGCGAAACCTTGTTATATGTCCGCTATTTCTATAAAAATACGCTATTTTCCTTGCAATTGGTAAAAAATGTAAATTTGTATTTCAAACAATGAAAAAAGAGACGTGCACAATTTCTAATCAGTAACCCTGTACAGTCAACGGCTACTTACAATAACTCGGTTTTATTTATGAAAAAACTTATTCAGAACTTACTTTGAATGCACAAATCTTGTTCGTTCTGGGTGGTTCCAAGTCGTTCATATTTAGGAACTTTCAGGAAATCAATGCAACTCCTGTCCTTTATATTGAGTGCATTCAACATAATTTTTGTTTTTCTGTCCATATTATCTGAAATTACCAAAGCAATGAATACAGCTAGAATCAATAAAATTGGAAGAGTAGTTTGACACGTTGTTATTTGATTGGGATTTTCTTTATTCAAAAAAGTTTTTAATCTCTGTTTGG